CTCAAGGACAGCATCCAGGCTTAGAGTTCAAGCTCCATGACCAACAATAGCATGTCACTTCAGCGATTAGGTTATAAAAAACGAATCTTCCATCTTGATGGTGGCTTCTCCCTCTTTCTTTGCTCACTGGATTGGGGCATCTGCATGAACAGCCCCCTAGGGACACCCACAGGAGAAAGAACCTGGGAAATGCAAACCCCAGCTTCAAAGAGAATGTGCTTCTATTTCTTTCTAAAACATCTGATAGTAAACACAGTGTAATTATCTAAGGATTGAGTTTTCTTTCTGGGAAGGTTGGAGTGGTTTTTTTAAATTTTTGTTTTTATTACTGTGGCAGTTTCTTTCATAGATAAAATGAAGAATTAATTGAGTATTCAGTACTTTCTTGGGTCACTTTTAGTTATTTGGCCTTTCAATGGAATGAATCCATTTCATCCTGTTGTCAACTTAATGAACACAAAGTTACACATAATATTCTTTTATCAGATCTCAGCCTTCTGAGTAGCTAGGATAACAGCTGTGAGCCACTGGTGCCCAGCTTTCATTTCTTTTTCTTTCTTTTTATATATTTCTTTTTAGTAAGTGGTAATAGATAAAACATAGTTGAAATCTTTTTTTCTATTTCATTTCAGTAGCTGAACCTATAGCCACATATTTCTTCATAATATTATTCTCTTATCCATGTAATAATCTACAGAATCTGTATGAACTTTTATTTAAAAATGAATGTTGGAGCTGTCTGGATGCTAGTGGCTCACTTCTGTCATCCTAGCTACTCAGGAGGCTGAGATCTGAGGATCACAGTTCAAAGTCATCTGGGGCAGGAAAGTCTGTGAGATGCTTATCTCCAATGAAATCACAGAAAAAGCCAGAAGTGATGCTAGTCTAAAGTGGTAGAGCCTAGTCTTGGGCAAAAAGGACAGTACCCAGGCCCAGTGCCAAGCCTCAGTACTGGCCAAAAAAAAAAGAAAAGAAAAGAAAAAGAAGAAGGAAAAGAAAAAGAAAAAGGAGTGTTGACTTATTTGAACTATAACACTTTAAAGTATAATGGATGTGTTAATTCTGAGTGTTGTTGAATTTTTCTTAAACTATGCACTGTACAAATATAACATTTCCCGGGCTGGGAAGGTGGCTCAGTGGTAGAGCGCTTGCCTTGCATGCATGATGCCCTGGGTTCTATTCCTCAGCACCACATAACAAAAAGAAAAAAGCCAGAAGTAGCGCTATGACTCAAGTGGTAGAGCGCTAGCCTTGAGCTGAAGAGCTGAGGGACAGCACCCAGGCCCAGAGTTCAGGCCCCACGACCGGACGCCAAAAAATAAATAAATAAGTAAATTAAAAATATATATATATATATAATATTTTCATATCAAAATTACAAGAAGTAAAATCTGACTAAACTTGTAAATTCAGCTCCTTGGCTTTAAAGGGCTTTTACGGTGAATTTCTACATGTGAATTATTCCTTGTCATCCTGCTGTTGTTGTTTTTATTATTATTATCCCCACTGTTTTTCTTTCCTCTTATGTTTTGCTAAGCACATGTTTTTCATTTATTATATAAAAATGTGTTTATGATTGTGTTTGTGCACCTGCAGCCTGAAGTAGGCTAATTCTTAATCCTGAACTTAATCCTGTTGTCTATTTTTTATTAAAAGGAAAATAAGATGGAGATAGGAGAAAATAGGATAAAGGAACCAAGAACACTTTCTTTTTTTTAATGTTTTAACCTCCAGTAAGCATTGGGCAGATTGGATAACTCAACTGGAATTGCTGGTTCAACAATAGAGCTCTGATATATTGGTGTCAGAACTGCGCAAACTTCTGAGTCGCAAAACTCTGAGTGTAGAGATCTGGACCATGTGTTCACTGGGCTGAATTTGTTTTCATTCTGACAGTTAGAGATAGCTTTATTTGGGGAGTGCCCTTTCAATTGTTTTCTTACATGTTCATTAAGGAATTCTAAAATATGAAGAGTCGTTTATAGAATAGAACTGTAAGCTCTCCTATCGCTCCACCATTAACTAGCAGGAATGCTCACTCCCCTGGCCAGTTTGGGCCATATGAGTTTTTCCATTGAGTTGCTACCAACATAACAGTCAACTTCCTCCATAGCTGACCATCTAAAACAAAGACACACGTGGGTGCTCATGCACACATTCTCCCTGCTCTCCTCTCGTCCTGGCCACTCCTCCTCCTCCTCTCCTTGCTCCTTCTCTTCCCACGATCCTCCCCCACAAAGATAAAATCTAGAACATCTTTTACAACATCATCTGAAAGAAGATGGCTTATGAACACTATGGACAGAAGTCTCTTGGATACCTAAAAAAATTGTCTCCCTTAACTATAAAAAAATGCCTTTACAAATTTTAACTCTTTTATCTATTATAGTGGGGCTTTGTAAATAGTTCTCCTCAGTAATGACCAATACCATTTTATTGGTACTTCCTTTTACTTAGAGATGTCTTTTGTGTGCTTCCAATTTTCTTTGAATGTCTTTTCAATAACTTTTTCCCGAAAATGGAATCTAGTGTCCTTGCAGAGTAATAAATTTCCTACAATTTGATGTAAAGGTAAATCCAATTGGAATCATGTCTTCATCAGTGTCCATCCATAACAGCTGAGCTTTTCTTTGCCATTAACTTCCCGAGTCTCTCCTTTCTTCCCTTGTCTTCTGAGGTTCCAGACAGCTCATTCTACTTGGTTCCTTCTTTGCCTAAGTGTTAGAAGCATTAGAAGTACCCAGAGCTCAACACTTGAAACAGTTCTACATCTATCCCACCTCCCTAGATGAACCAATCTCTTCCTCTAGCTTTAAAACACTTGTTTTGACACCATTTAATAGATATTTCAAACCTAACAAAATTCCCTATCTCTGCCTCCACCTAAGTGGTTGATTTACTGTCAAATCGTAACAAGTTCTGCCTTTGAAACATATCCAGAATAGAGCTAGTTCTCCCAACCTTCATGGCTACCATCTTTTTCTGCAAAATGCCAAAGCCAAATAGAACAGTGGGTTTCAGTGTTTGCTAGAAACTGAGTTCTGGGACTATAGCCAAAGTTTCCTGAGTAATGTACTTCTCCCATATCTTCACTATTTAACACAATGTCTAGCGCACACAGGTAGATGCTCATGTGGATATTTGTTGGGTAAGCAAATAGTATAGTGAAGTACATAGAAGCTAGATTCTTTTTCTCGTGCTCAGTTATACCTTCTTCATTTCCACAGCTCAGCCCACTCCCATCATGCCATGGTTAATTCATTTACATACTTTGTCTTTATTGTCAGTAGTTCTTAATGTGTTTTCACCTGTTTTTCCCTGATGGCTCTCCCTTCTTCTAAATGGCCCTCCTCTTATACTTTCCTCAACTTAATTTCAAATCACAGTGTCCTGCTTAAAAGCTTACAAAGTGATTTGAGGTTTGTTTTTTTTTGCCTTTTTTTTTTGGTCAGTTGTGGGGCTTGAACTCAGAGCTTGGGCACTGTACCTGACCTTTTTTGTTCCACCACTTTGAGCCACAGCTCCACTTCTGGTTTTCTGGTGGTTCATAAGAGTCTCACAGACTTTCTTGCCTGGGCTGGCTTTGAAGCACAATCCTCAGATCTCAGCCTCCTGAGTAACTGGGTGTGAGTGACCAGCTGGCTGAGACAAGGTTTGAATAACCCCTAACGTGGAAAGAAAACTCCCCTGATCAAGCTCCTTCTACCGGGGTGCTTCCCAGGCCCTTGTTACCTCCGCCTTCCTGAATTCCCAACAGTTGTGGAAACACCTGCTCATCCTTGTGATGCTCCCTGCCTTTTCACCCATCTGTCTGTCCACCCTCCAAGAAATGGAAGTCACTCAGCCTCAGATCGGGGCCCCATTTTCCTCCGCTCTGTTCCTTGTACTGCTCTGTCTGTGGTGTATCACAGTGTTCACTCGTCTATTCCCCTGTCAGACTGCTGACTCCTTGAAGGCATGGGCCGAATCCACGCCCGGTACCTGTGACATGGCAGGAGCCCAGCACACACATCCTTTACTATGAGCAATTGATTGCATGGTGTGTGCAATAGATGGTGAATGAGAATTCTTGAGAGATAGGAAGCAAAAGATCAGCCGTACATGCGATGACAAGCAAGCATTCAATTGAGAAAATGTTCATAGAAGAGATGGCATTTGGAATAGGCTTTGAAATGTGGGGAATGCTGTAGAAGGTAAATTGTGTTCAGCTATTGAACAAGTACTGAGTGACAGCTCTGTGCTAGTTAGTATGCCAATTGTCTGGATCCTATCCAGTGCTTGTCATTAGAATCTCTAATTGATGGCTACTTCTAAACATAGCCCTTTCTAAGAGTTTTAGTTGACTTTCTTTGGTGATCAATAAGAAGCAATAATAGCACTTTAAAAAAGTGTTCCTACCGGAGACTGAGATCTGAGGATCACGATTCAAAGCCAGCCAGGGCAGAAAAGTTCCCATGAGACTCTTATGTCCAATTAGCTACTCAAAAAAATGGAAGTGGAGCTGTGGCTCAAAGTGGTAGAGTGCTAGCACTGAGCAAACAAGCTCAGGGACAGCACTCAGGCCCTGAGTTCCAGCCCCACAACCCTCCCCCCCCCCCAAAGGTAAACTCTTTTTTAAATTAATCCTTAGTGATAACATCGAGAGAGATTACTCTGATCAGGTTTCAGGGAAGCTGTTAGCTGCTTTTTTTTTTTTTTTCTTGCTGGTTGTGGGGCCTGAACTCTGGGCCTGGGCGCTGTCCCTCAGCTCTTCAGCTCAAGGCTAGCACTCTACCACTTGAGCTACAGCGCCACTTCCTAATGTGGCGTTTGAAAATGTATCCTGTTCCATATTTCTCGGCTAACTATAAGCAACAATTTTGTAAACCTTTGTCTTAGACTGGCTGATCTGCAGCATGCAATCTATTCCAGGGACCAACTATAGAAGCAGCAGTTGTATCAATCTTTGTCTTGGAGTGGATCATTTGAGTAACAGATCTGCACCCCGTGGCCTGTTACAGGGACAGTCCCTCAGCCGGCATCGACACGTGTGCATTCCTGTCATCCTTCCTGTGCTCCAACAGGACTCTGCTGATTGATGGCCAGGTGGAACTCAAAAGAGGCCTGCAGAGGCAGGAGCGCCACCTCTTCCTATTCAACGATCTGTTCGTGGCGACCAAAATCAAGTGAGTATACTGCTCCCCTCTCTTCCTGTTATCATTGTAAAAGTGCATCTCCACAAAGGGAGACCACACTGGCCAAAAGAAGGTTTAGCCTTCTGCTCTGAGAGCTAATATCTGGAGTTTCCTGTTTGTTTTGCTTTAAAAAAAAAAAAAGGAGTTTTCTTTTATATCTTTTTGTTGTCGTTGTTGTTCGTGGGGCTTGAACTCTGGGCCTGGGCGCTGTCCCTCAGCTCTTCAGCTCAAGGGCTAGCACTCTACCACTTGAGCCACAGCGCCACTTGTGGTTTTCTGGTGGTTTATTGGAGATAAGAGTCTCACCGCCTTTCCTGCCTGGGATGGCTTCGAACTGCGATCCTCAGATCTCAACCTCCTGAGTAACTACAATGACAGAAGTCTTTATATCTTTTAAAATAATTTCCCCCCAGAAAAGTACTGGGTCCCTATATGTGCTGGGACCTAAATACAGGTAAGGGTTAAGTAAAGAATGTCGTGGACATGATCATTCTCTTTTCTAGCTTGACCTCTAATGTGGGGGCTTTATATTTCATGGGGAGAGGAGATGAGAACTTAACATTTTTTTAAAAATAAAACAACAACCAAGAGGAACGTCTCTGTAATACCAAACTTGAGTCCGGCATGTCCCTTGTGGTCCTCAACTGGAGGGCAATTGGAGCCCTGGCACCCTTGAATTTGCTGAACTAATTTGAGATGAGCACTTAGCACTGCTGGTCACAGCAGCAGGTCGGAGGGGAGCAGGTGGACTTGGTGTTTCATCAGTTCATCTTCAGGCTTCCTTCAGAAACGGCGGTTCAGTCTTCAGCTCGCCCTTACAGGGGCAAACTCAAGGGGGCTAAACAATGGCCCCTATTGCCACATTTATTATTGTTTTTAATCTGAGTTGAATTGGAGCAGACACAGTAGAGAACATGGGCGAGCGCCCCCTGTTACTGACTCAGGTATTACATTCGCTCCAGTCTGTGCCCCGTGTTGACCACACTTGCTGGAAATGGTTGCCAGTCTTGTCATTCTTTCCTGTAGGAAATTAGAACACGTATGAAAGCCAGCTGGGGGCCTTCCCGACCACTCTTGATATTCATTAGAAAGATAAATAGTTTCTCCAATAAAATTAGGGCCTTCCTTTTTACTTTAATGATGGGATCTGTTTTACAAGCATTTAATTATTTAGAAGGCAGCTGGTATTCTCTGTTATGAGTCCCAGGCCAGCCTGGGACCATGATTCTTCTTCCTGTGCCTCGCATGCAGTTGGAATCGCTCTGCATACCAACACACGCTCAGCTTCCTGGCTCTGATGGAGTCTTGCTAACTTTTTGCCCAGACTGACCTTGAACTGTAATCATCCCAAGTAGCAGGGATTACAGGCAGGAGTTACCAGCTTGGTTCGCCCTAGCTTTATGTACATAAATGTTCCTAACCTATTTCTCCTCTCTCTCTTATCAAGAAAGTCTTCAATAGTCTATGAAACGAACTCCAAGGAAAGGAAAGGAGACATTTTGTAAAGTTAGCATTGCTGCTGTTTTTGTTCTCTTTTCCTTTTGTCTGGTTTGTTTGTATTTGGGGGGATAAGGGAGGACACAGAAAAGGTGGAACATAGGGTGAACAAATACAACAGGAATACTCACTAGACACTACATGGAAGATGAACTGTACATCTTGTGGCTGGGGACGGGAGGGAAAATCCAGGAGAGAGCAATGGAAAGGGGAGACATGGTTCAAAAAGAATTGTACTCATGACTTATTTCCTGATTCATGTAACTGTAACCCCTCTGTATATCAATGCTACAATAACAATATTTTTTAAGTCTTTAGCTCTCTGTGTTAGACAAGAAAGTAGACCAAAGATAGAAGTTGGGGGGTGTGTGAGGGGGAAGGGTAGTGATTCAGAATTACCCTTCAGAAGCAGCTCCCTCCCCCCCAGTTCAGATCGCAGCTGTGATACTTAAGCTATTTGGCTTTTGGTAATCTCTCTGGCTCCACCTCCGTATGTATAGGAGGTCCTGAATTTCCCTGGGTATTTTGTCTATCAGTGCTTTTTAACTCATTAAGTCTCAGCCCCACCATTTGTATGAAATATGTCAATGAGATCAAAATATATGGCATTTCCACATCACAGGGCCTTACGGGAGGCTCAGGGAGAAATTGTCAAAAAAGCAATTTTACTGCTGATTAAAAGTAGGTCATCTTCCAGGTCCCCAGAGATGAATGATAATCACGTGAAGTCTATTCGCTTTCTCTCTCTTTGTATTCTCTTCTAGTTTAGGTTCTAATTTTAGATTACAGGGTTCGGTTTGATTTGTCCTTTGGGTTCAGTTTTGGGTTTTTTTTTCTCTTTTGCCAGAATGCGAGGTAAAATGGATGAAAAATAAAGTTAAAATAAACTTGCTTTTCTAAAGGCTGGAAAGTCTTGCTACAACTCAGTTCAAAGTGTATTATAATACTAAGGGGTTTTCTTTAATCTTTCGTAAGATGGCAATGTTTTTCAACTTGTCAATAAATTATACATTTTAATATTCGTCCACTCAAATATTTTTGAAAGTAAGCAAGTGAGAATTTTTGTAGTAGCAGGAAATTTCAGGCAAGTTGTTGTTCCAAATCCAGTGCTCAGTGTATAGAAAAATAGTGTGGCCAGTTTATGAATGCTTCCTGTCATATACGTAGGCCTGAGGAATCAACCTTTCATCCAGCATTTCAAAGGCCAACCACGTCAAAATCTACTGTGACAATCACCTGACACTGAAATGTTAAGTCATTTGTCGCCCACAATTATGCCAACTGGCTTCTTGTAATAATTAATGACACCCTGGTAGAGCTAACGAAATAAAAAATGAAGAGATCCTGTTGCCTGTTGCTCTTCTCTTCTATTTTCTTTGTGTGTGTGAATGTGTTTGTGTGTGCACGCGCGTGTGCGTGCGTATGCATGGGCTGATCCTGGTACTTGAACTCAGGACCTGGGTGCTGTCCCTGAGCTTCGTTTACTCATGGCTAGTGATCTACCACTTGAGCCACAGCTCTCCTTCCAGCTTTTTTGGTAGTTAATTGGAGATGAGAGTCTCACAGATTTCCCTTCCCTCCAGGGGCTGGCTTCAAACCTTGATCCTCAGATCTCAGGCTCCTGAGAAGCAAGGATCACAGATAGGAGCCATCTGCAGCTGGCTGCTTGGCTTTAAGGAAAGCAGCTTTTTTGGAGAATGACATTATCAGCATGCTAACTTGAGCAGCCAGGTTGTTCAAGGAAGCCTCTGGAAATCCCTTATTTGATGTCTTCCAAAACATATGCGCACATACCCTGTTCTTTCCTGAGATTTCTAATTTCAACCTGGAGTGGGGCGAAGAGATGTTCTTGTCTTTGGAGAAAAGGCACCGTCCTCGGGGAGGGAGGGATGAGATGTTGAAAGGGGTGACACAGATCAAGAGCTATTGCATTCATAAACCTTTTTGTTCAATGGCAACTCCTTTGTGTAGCTACTTAAAGATAATGATAGTAAAAGAAAGGCACTTTGGTCTAGGTGGTTTTGAACCATCTTTGATGCAGAAACGGTAGTCTGAAAAGCATCCTACAGTTATAACTTGTCCTTACATGGTGAGCTCACAACCATTTTGTTTTTTCTCTTTCTAGATACAACAATAACTTTAAGATAAAAAATAAAATAAAATTGACTGACATGTGGACAGCTAGCTGTGTGGATGAAGTGGGAGAAGGCCACACTAATGCCACCAAGTCCTTTGTCCTGGGCTGGCCCACGGTGAACTTTGTGGCTACTTTCAGGTAGGAACCGCAGCTACTCTTCCTCTTTGCTTGGATTGGCTAATATTTTTTAATTTTTCATTTTTTTTTGCCAGTCCTGGGGCTTGAACTCAGGGCCCTGAGCTTCTTTTGCTTAAGGCTAGCGCTCTACCACTTGAGCCACAGCGCCACTTCTAGCTTTTTCGGTGTATGTGGTACTGAGGAATCAAACCCAGGGCTTCATGCATGCTGAACAAGTATTCTACCACTGAGCCACCTTCCCAGCTGGATTGGCTACCATTGAAAACAAATTTTGTTCCTCTGATTTTTTTTAAGGAAAAACCTTGTATTCTGATTAGGTATTTAAGTCAGTTATTCATGTGCCTTATTTTTTAAAGCCATACTTTTTCATTCAAATGTTTAAAAATAAATGATAAATATTGGGAACTTTTAGAGCTGTTTCCTTGGTATGGCCTGAGATATTTTTGTGAAAGGGTTCTACCTGGATTAGGAGTGTGGAATCGAGTAATCAGACCTCTAGGATCCTCCCTGCTTCCGCAATGCCAACGTATCTGTTTTACATATTGGTTATTAAACCTGATCAGTCTTTGCAAGCCACTGAAAGAAATCTTCACCCAAGCAACTTTTATAGAATAATCCAGTCTAAGTTTGAGGAATGAGTTTTCCCTGATAGTACTCCCAGATTGTCCAAAACAGTAGTGTTGTGTTATGCGAACAGAATGAAGTGTGATACAAGACTAAGTTCCCTGAATTGTCTTTCTGATTTGGTGTCTGCAGAGATATGACCATCAAAAGTGAATTTCTGATATTATGGAGTAAAAATTACTTTCCTAAGACTCAGTCTGAAGCCTGGAGAGTGGTGAATAGATTCATAAATTCAGAATATGTGTCCTTATTAGCCAGGACATGATTAGTTAGAGTTTGTTGATTCACATCTGTCGTTTCCAGCAATTGTATCCATACTCCAGTCTTTGTTTTACGCTTCAAGGCAAATACACATGACCTGCACCTGAGGCTTTTTGTTCTGCTTCCCTTTCCAGTAGCGATAAACTATTCAGGCATCCTCTTGAAACCAGACAACTAAAATATCTTCCAAGCTGTTAATCTTTTAATAAGGACAAGCATGCCATTAAATTCTGTTATGCATTGCCGGCCCACCATGAGCTTTTAAGAGCTTATTTGGGAAAAGCCTGTTATTGGTGGGTCATTTTCTGCATATTTGTTTTTTGGTTTAAGAAAACCGATTTCTACAGATATCATCACTTCCTGTTGTTGAATCCGTTTGGTGAAAGGAGGAATTCCAAGTGATCTTTTTAATTAAAAGAATTCCTATGCAACTTCAAGAGGGGGAAGACATGGGGATATGTTTTCCTCACATAGCATTGCTCCAACTATGGCTCTGTAGCCAAGTGGTTAAAGTTGACATCATCAATAATGTCATGGTGGTGACATGGAACCCCTTACTATAAGGTGATAAAGAGAGCAATCGCCTCTGTAGTGTTTCCCTCCCTGCAAAAACAAAAATACATAAATAAATGCTAATCTAGCCATGAGAAGACCATCTGCCAAACACAAAGCGAAGACAAGACTGTAAAATCTCTGAGCAGTACTCCTCAAAACTGTGAAGAGCTACACCAAAATCAGGAAAGACTGAGCAACTGTCCTACACCAACCCTGGGGTGGATGGAATAGGTAAATGTTATATGATATTGGATTGCCTTCAAGAACAGAGGAAAAAAAAGACCATCAAAAGAAAAACCGACAAAATCTAAGTCACATCAAGAGTTTATTTTAAATGTGAGCGCCAGTGTTTAGGAATTGGATCAGAAGAACGTAAAAGGATGTGAGATGAATACAGAAACTCACTGTATAAGCTCTGTGACCATACTGGTCTAAAGAATGAGAGAGAGTAAATATGATCAATGTATATTGTATTCTTGTCTTGACATAGCACCAAAAAAATCCCACACTGTATAGTTAATGTGAACTAATGAAAAAAAATACTTTCTTGCAAAAACATACATTTGATTTTAAAATGACTTGATCTCTCAAAGCCAACGGTTGAGGAATTCTGCCTCTGGTATGGCAGAGTGCAGTCTTAGCACGCTGACCAGCCTACAGATAACAGCTCTGAAAGCTGAGCAAAATACACACAATTGTAACTCACCTAAGGATTCTGAGGAGGTGACAAACCTGGGGTGATTTGAGAGGAGAGTTGGCACTTGGAAGAAGGCACCAGCCTCAGTCGGGTGAGGTTCCTGGTTTTTAAGGCACCAGTGGGTACAGGGTCACTAAAACTCACAAACCCCTGCAAGTCTCTCTGGCCTGAAGAAGCAGAGTACAGAGTCCGAATCAACCCAGGTGAATGGAAAGCAAGAGGAACGAGACAAGGGGAGTTCCACTGTCTACATGCAGACGCTGTTCAGTGAGTGTACTCCTTGGTGAACCGGTGAGACAGAATTTGTAACTCCATCCCACCAAATTCGTTGTCTGCTGAAACCAAAGCAGCGACACAGTCTGACTATAAATTCGAACAGTTCGAACAGTGTCAAGAAGACAACAGAAAATTCCTTGGCATACAAAAGAGACAAAAGGGAGAAAGAAGATCAGCAACAGAAGCCCACCCCGAGGTGACTCATACCCCAGATTACCAGAAAATAATTTTTAAATACAAATAAAGAGGCCAAAAGAAAAAAAAGTCCAACTGAAATGCATGAAAAGATGAGAAATATTGGCAGAGCAACAGAATAACCGAGAAAAAGCCAAAGGAAAATTCTACAACAGAAACGTACAGAACATGTTTTGTTTTTGCTGTTGTTGTTTTTTTACACAAACCATGTAGCTTCCTTACAGAGTGGAAATGAGAGGTGTCTGTGAATATAATGTTGGTATAAATTACTTCTGTGGTTCAATCTTCCACTCTTATTTTCTTTGTTGGCAGTTGTCCGGAACAAAAGGACACGTGGCTCACTCTGCTTCAGAGGTAATTTTTTTTTCAATATTCTGATTTTTAATGTTTCACCTGTGGTAAAAGAGCTTAAAATCATGTGCTGAAGAGTTATATCCCCAAACTCTTCCCTTCACCCTTTCTAGAAATTACTCGCTTGCCCTCAAAAAATATCATCTGTTGTTTATATTGTGTAGTTGCAACAACTGACTGTAAAATAATGTTCTCTCGGTGTAAGCCTTTCTGGGAGGAGAAAATTGGGGTTTGTTTCAATCATTTTAGACAGAAATTAAGTCATCTCTTCCTGTCATCCTCAAACTACCAATTGGTGCTAATAGATTTGTTCAAAAGTGCACGATATTCTATAGTCCACCTCACAAATCAATTCTCCCTACCATCCAGTATCTAGACCAAAATGGCCAACTTCAGCTCCTCAGCTAAACCCCTAGCTCTCCTCCACAAGCTACGGGAGAGTTAAGAATTCCAGGCTGGTTGAAAACTAAATGGGAAATAAGAAGCCATGGCTCTGGGTTGGCCTAGTGAAGTATTGAATATATTCTCACACTTAGTAAGTATATGGGGCCAAACCTGTTCAGAATAGGCAGGGAGACTTGAAGGAGAAATCGATCTATATATTTATTTATATGACCCTGATCATGATTCTTGAACCTCACTTAACAAAATGCATGTCTCATTCTTTCTGGGTTTTGGTTTTGGTTTTTGGTTTTTTTGGTGCCCATGCCTAATGTCCTGAAGAAATCTTTTTTTTTTTTTAATTCTCTTTCAACCCACCATGTAATCTGACTTGGCTGAGTCTCTCCCGTGTCTTTTTTAAAAGTAGTACTTAAGCTGATTGCGAATGTGATCAAAAGCGATTGATTTTGAAAAGTAAGCCGTCAGCGAATTCCATCTGACTCAGTGTTGTTTTGGGTTGTCGTTGCATTTGATTAGATACATCAATCTAGAGAAAGAGAAGGACTACCCGAAGAGCATTCCCCTCAAAATCTTCACCAAGGACATTGGGAATTGTGCCTATGTAAGTGTTTCTCGGCCAGAAAATTCAATTCCAAGTCCCTGCCTCAGGTAGAGAACAGCATGGAGTCAAGGAGAGTCAGACAGACAGACAGATGACAAAGTATGAATGTGCTACTGAGATACCATAGTTGGGGGGGAATGCTTTTTCCTGAGTCTGTGCAAATCTTTGTATGTATGAAAGGAAACCACGGAGAAAAAGCAGCAAGAGATCTGTGTTCACCATAGTATTTAACACTCACTCATGGAAAGATTCTGGCTTGTGAGATGTGTCTTTTCTCTCCCTGGGAGATTTGTGTTAGCAAAAGGCAGTTAGTAAGCAATTTCTATAAGGAGATATTTTCTGTACAGGGAAGTATTCTTTAGGGTTTTTTCCCACTGCTAGTCAATTCTTAAGTCAAGAGTGCTCAGGAAAAGTCCTTCATTCTTTGAGATTTGGAGGATTGAATCCCTCAGGTGAAGAAAAAAATGGGTCACCTGCAGAAGATGGCTTTTGTAAGGGATAGCATGCTTCTGACTCCCAGTGTTTTGGTATGGTCTTTAATACCAGTCTGTGTAGTGGGTTGGCTGAGGTTCAAGATCAGAGACATTATAAACAAGTTGGAAACTTTGTGTGTGTGTGTGTGTGTGTGTGTGTATGTGTGTGTATGCTTGTGTGTGTGCGCTGGTACTGGGGACTTGAACTCAGACCTAGGTAAGCTTTTTCACTCAAGGCTAGTAGTACTCTCCCACTTCGCACCATAGCTCCATTTCTGGCTCTTTTGTGTGTGTGTGTGTGTGTGTGTGTGTGTGTGTGTGTGTGTGTGTGTGCATGGGTGTGTGTGTGGTTAATAGTCTCTCAGACTTTCCTGCCCTGGCTTCAAATGTTGATCCTCAGATCTCAGCCTTCTGAGTAGCTAGGATGACAGGCATGAGCCACCAGTGCTTGGCTGTAAAATCATATTTTTATGCTGTGGACTGTCCATCTAGTAGCCCTAGATCGCATGGAATAGTTTTGTGGAAAGCTATGTAGTCTGAATGAGTTATGCATTGGACAAAACCCAAGTTAGGCATATATTCTAACCAGTTCAGGTATCTGACTTAAATTCTTGCAGGAACTATTCACATTTTTACGGTAGGAGACTGCCATGATCTGTTTGCTTTAGTACAGTGGAGGGGTAGTTCAGTATGAAAAGAATTTTCATGGAAAGTCCCCTGACTTATTTATCATTAAAAGCGAAGCTACATCCAGGATGAAGTGACAGAGCCAATGTCTCGGCCAGCTCTGCTTCTAGAAAGATCACCCCCAAGAGTAGTGCATGTGGGGGAAATAGATTATTCTTGGCCTCTTGTGGTGCAGAGCCTGTCAGTGAATTCTGCCGATCTGGAATGGATAGCCAGGTCTTTCCATTTTCTGTTATTTGATTTCTAGCCAAAGTGCTCTACCTTCTACCATTCATTTGTGCTGACTCCCAGAAAGCCATGCAGGGGAAAATATACTTCTGTAATTACTTTGTGGAGCATATATGTGTAATGGTTAGCAAAACTAGCTTAGTATCCAGGTAATTAGAAAGATTCTTTACAAAAGACTTTACGAGAGAGTGTCTTTAAATGGAATCAAGGTGGCTTGTAGACTTGAAAAACAGATGCAGAAGCCCTTTCTAAAGCTGTATTTGGGACAATAAGAAGTGCATTTTGAAATCAGTGCATTTACAATGATCTTTTTAAAAAATTTTTAAAAATTCAAATAAAAACAATTTGTCCAGACAAGTACTTGGCCCACAGTAAAGAAAGACTAGAACACAAATGACAACCCATACATTCTCAGGAGATTTAAATTTCTCTATTTTTAATTTTACTTGTTTTTTTCATGCTACTTTTTTTGAGTGTATCATGTAAATCCTTGGCTATCAGAGCCACCGCTGATTTATCTGATAATTATCCTGCATACAAACCTACCTGCATAGCCGGTGAGAGAATTGAGCTCTCTGGTATGTTCAGTGCTCACTAATTAAGTCCTCTCATGGAAGTCTTAGTAGCCACAAAGGCTAGACACATAGAAAAAACTTAGATAGTAATGGGCTTCACGTGTATTTTGTAACCAGTCTCTATTCTGATTTTCCTTAGCTGATTTTATACCATGCAAAGACATAGAAGTCCATATTATAAGTACAGAAAGCGAGACCCAGAACTTTCTCTGTTCTTAGATTTCCCACTGCAGTATGCAAATGAGGCAGAGGGCAGCCTGACTGATTTGCTGTGTGTGTATGTGATGTGAAGTGGGTCCATGTATACTCTTTGCTTAAGCTCTTGTATTTTTTGAGCTTAGGTTCTACAAGAAAAAGAAATGTTTTAGTAAAGTGCATATCAAGGGGTAAAAGTAAGAATTAAGGGTCTGTGTCCTACTTAAAGTCTCGTGCTTTATTCTATTTGTGCTTGAAAGCAAGATTCATCTTTGGATCATCATTTAGCAATGATTATTTGTCTTTAATTTCCTTATTTGTAGATGTATCTCTTATTTCTTTTTTTTCCCCCCTACAGTCCAAAACTATAACAGTAATGAATTCAGATACAGCGAGTGAAGTCATCAACATGTCATTACAAATGCTAGGGATAACCGTAAGTTACTCTGCTAGATATTTTTTTATTTGTTTTGCTTTGAGATAGAATGTCAAGGCTGGCCTTGAATTCACAATCTTCCTGCCTCTACTTCCTACATCCTAATTATAAAGAAATTTTTGATTCAAAGTAATATTTAGTAAACTTAGACGTAAATACTATGCTTTGCAAGATAACATATATGTCCTATTTTGTCCCCCATATGTAGAAAATAAAGACAGGAAAGCTTTACTCTAAGTGCACTATATATCTCCACTGACACACAAAAACATCTTTGCTAGAAAATTCTTAATAGAGTTTCAGCCTTCTTTTTCCCTTCCTTCTTGGCATTACCTGAGTGTTTGCCTAAGAGTTGGTCTTGGGATAATGACAAATTCAGAATAATGTGTTCTGTAGTAGAATTTTTACATCAAGGACAGCGAAAGGTGGGGAGAAGAGGCGCTGGTATCGGGGAGGGGGGTGACTGTGTGAAAATAGACTAATAGTAAAGCACATTAAAAAATTTTAAAGGGGGATAAAAAGAATTACAGAGGAGCGAATTTGATCAAAACACCTCATATACATGTATGGGAAGAATGCCTTGAGACCCTTTTGTATGATTAACATAAACAGGCCCTGTTCACTGACTATAAATCCTGATGATATGGTGGCTTGTGGGTGATGAGACTCATGGCAGTTTGTAAGTGAGGAGAGCTCTGGACGCTGTCATGAATTTGAAGATCCTTAGTGTGCAGTCCACACTGTTTTGCTTGTAGTTTCTCACTTCGCTTTCTGGGGCAGAAGAGACTTTTGGAAATTTTATTAGTGGGAAAGACTGGCGTATATCTGAGGATGAGGTAGAAGATTAAGGATCAGGAGGTTCATCCCATGGCTCCCTGCGAGCTCTGCAAAGCCTGTGATGAGTCTTTAATTGAAGGCACGGGCTTCTGAGGTGTGCAAACAAGCAAAGAACCTAAACGTTTCAGTCAGAGTCTCCAGGAAGATACTCCGGTGACAATGATGTGGTCTGGCACACTTAGCATCTGCCGTAGTATTGCTGATGTATTTAGATTTGCTCTTCACCATGCTGTGCTGAAAGAACTCAGTGCTACTGCAATTTGGGACACACAACCTGATTAATAAAAGTTTAGCAAAGGAGATGACTGAATCGAGTTCTGACCTCTATCAATAGATCTTAGAGTAGTTTAAGGGGTAGGGAAAGAGTTCAATACATTAATCATTTTTCCTATCTATAATTCTTTATGGATTTTAGTCTGCTTAGACCAGACAAAACTTAAGTTTTATTTAATCAGGAATGCGAGTTACCTTGGTTAATCCTGTTTAAAGAGATTTTTCACGGTGTTTTCAATACTGCCTAAAAATCAAAAGAGTTGTTAGATTGCTCTTCCTCTCTGATCAAGGGATGGGATGAAGAAGATAGATAGGACAATCTGTGTGTGTGACCAGCAGTTGTCTGTTGGGCCTTTGCCATAGCCAAGAGCCTCCCTTTGGAAGACTGGGACATGATGTCCAATTAGCAGTTAAAGAATAGGAAATATTACCAACACACTTGACTATTCGTGTGAAACATTTTGCTTTGTTCCTTGCTGGTAGACTCAGCAGGAACTAGGAAATAGAGTGTTATCCCTTTCTCATGGATTAATAGTATTACTGGGTTAGTATAGTGCTGGTGACAGGGTTGGTTTTGCTTGACCCAGTCCCTTATCTAGGTAAACCTCTCTCTTCTGTTTCTGGGACTGTTCTTGTCCCCACTGAAGCCATCTATCTATCTCCTCCAAGCTTCTTGCATCAATCTGTGCAGTGGCATATTGATTTCTCATTCACATCACCTATGTAGTGAGACCCTCACCCCACTGCAGTTGTGGGGGAGAGGGGGCGGGGAATCTGTAGCCTGGTAAAGAGGAAGCCAATCCTTCGGGCATGGGAGATGAGTTGTGGGAACTAGCAAAACCAGCTTGAAAAACCATAACCATCCCCATGACCCTGAATTTTCTTTTTCCAAAGCATAAAAATACCCCCCCCAAATGTATCTTTAGGATGCAAGTGTCAAACATGAAAGATGTATGGTGACTTTTAATTCTTTTATCTCCAAGGGCTCTGAGAAAGATTACCAGTTATGGGTTAATTCTGGAAAAGAAGCCGCACCATACCCACTCATTGGTAAGTTTCTGGGGAAATCTAAGCCGGCATTCTGTCATAACTATAATTCTAAATGTCTTGGAAGTGGTCCCAATCCACAATATACCTCTTTCATGGGGTATGCATTTAATACCTACTAACCATTTACTGCGTGCTAGACAATTGGATTTTTTTCATGCCACAAGTACAGTTAGGGAAAGAAATATAAAATATTCACTTTGCTTTTTCACTTTTAGCTTGTCACGTTTTCTAATTTCTCTGTGAGAAAGCAATATGTACTGGTATTCTTCTTCTCCATATGTAAGTTTTTATGTTCACTTCTTGAAGTCTCTTTTTCCTCCTTTCCTACTATGTTGCTTCTATAGGAAACCACCTATAATCCATCATCAATGAGCATCTAATCATCTTTTCTGTGCCCAGAACTTTCCTAAGCCTCTTTAAAAAAATGAGATAAATAACCCATGCTGATTCCTAAGTGTCTTTAGAGAGTAATTTACAAAACCAATGAACTATACTGTTACTCTAGCCAAGTTTTCCAGCATTTGTTGTAAGGAATGCTATTTTAAGACAGAGTCTCACCTAGGCTAGCTTACGCTGGTCTTCAGGCCTTACACTCCTCCTGTTGTTGGTAGGAATTATAAACAGGTGACACCTCACTTCAAAAAAATACATCTTGATCAATAATTTCATGCAGTGTAGCTAATTGACGTCGATTAGTTACAAGGGACAGTGTTGATAGCAGATTGGGAAATGAATGCATGGTACCTGCTAGGCTTTGTGTAAAGCAAGCATTTGCATCATCTCCTGTAACCCTGTCACCACCATTGACCCCAGACATAGAAGACAAAAGGTTCCTGCAAAATGTCTCTCTCTATTCTAATACAGAAGAGGAGGCTAGACAGCAGAGCTAAAGGCAAGACTGATTGCATTTCAGGTGTATTTTTCTTTTGATGTCATTTTTTTTGGGGGGGTTCGGTCGTGGGGCCTGAACTTGGGCCTGAGCACTGTCCCTCAGCTCTTCAGCTCAAGGCTAGCGCTCTACCACTTGAGCCACAGCGCCCTTTTTGGTTTTTTTCTTTTTGCTTATGTGGTGCTGAGGAATCGAACCCAGGGCCTCGGGCTGCAAGGCAAGCGCTCTACCACTGAGCCACCTTCCCAGCCCCTTGATGTCATTTTTTTAAGTGAACAATGTAAGTTGTCATTATAGAATCAAGTATCTAAAATAACAATATAATTTAATGTAATTTATTAAAAAGCAATGAAGACTAAGGAGATGATAACTTTTAGGAACATTGCGATTTAAAGCTTCTATTGCTACCTTGTCCTAATAAGATTTTCCCACCAGATCACACTTCAAGGAGGCTGAGATATGAGGATGGAGATTTCAAGCCAGCTTAGGCAGGAGCATCTGTTGAGATTCTTACCTCCAGTTAACCACCCAGAAGCTGGAAGTGGAGCTGCTCAAATAGCAGTAGAGCATGCACCTTGAGCAAAATCGCTCAGGGATCAGCACACAGGCCCAGGCTCGGAGTTCAAGGGCTAGAACTCAAGAAAAAAGAAAAAAAAATTGCATAAGGTTTTAATTCTGTGTCTCAGTGGGTATTACAAAAAAAACTGTAAATTAGCTGCTGGCTATTTTGATAAATGAATTTCGTATTTTTTTCATTATAAGAGCCTTTTGCCATAATCCCAGGCAGTTAATAATACACTTTCATTGTATGTGTATGCCAGGTAGCAAGGAAGAGCCTGAAGAGTATACTGAGTTCTGTAATAAGTAAACTTATTCTGTGCCATTATTTAAGCACAGAGAGTAACAGTATTTAGGGACTACACTGGGAGAATAGAATGACTTACAGTACAGCAGAGGAAAACAACCATGTTCCAATCAGATGGCCAAGGTTTTCTCTTTTTGTATCTATTACTATGACTTTAATCCTCTAAAAAACCCACCCTCTGGAGGAGTCAGTGGGAGGGAAGTATAAAACAACCACTCCCAATTGCATAGCTAATAATATAATAATGTTCCTGGGCAGACAATTACATAACTAATAAACAGTAACAAAACAATCAGTGATGGTCCTCAAGGATCCTTTTCATCCTGTTCTTTAAATCATCTTGGCCACGAGCATTTCCTTGCCCGAACCTTACAATGCTTGTGTATTATGGAGTGCACGATGCAGGATAACTATTTTAAATCATGGGTTGCCTGAAGATTTTTCCGATCTAGTGTCAAAGGAGAAACTAGAGTACCCTTTAAAATGCCCTTCTTAAATGCCAACCTAGGAGGGAAAAAAAATAAAGACAGCATATGCACTCAACTCCAAGGCAGGCCATCATTCTCAGTAAGGGATTCTTAAAAGATACTTTTTCTCCTTCCCTTTACCCCTCCCCCAACATAGTGTCACTAACTGCCCAGAGGGTCCCCTGCCTTCCTGCAGTGGTCTCTTTAACAGTCAGGGCATACAAGTAGGTTCAGGGCCACAAAAAGATTCTCTGTACCCCAAAGTCACAGGGATGAATGGCGGGCAGCACAATCTGCTTTGTCGTACACGTACTCACAATGCTCATCAGTCCCAAGTCCATGTTTGTATTTCGTTTTGTCTTCTCTTGGCAGGGCATGAATTCCCCTATGGAATTAAAATGAGCCACCTTCGAGACACCGCACTCTTGACACGGGGATCCGGGGACTCCGGCACGCCTCCAAACCTCCAAGAACCCTTCCTCATTGAACACCTTCCTCGAGACATGCAGTGCCAGTTCATCCTCAAGCCCAGCCGCCTGGCGCTAGGCCAGCAACTGAGTGGTGAGCAGCTCTCTCCCTCTTCCACGCAGCCAGCCTGACTCAAACGCTTTCCTTCCCCCAGCACAAATGTAGCACCCAAGCCAGGACCCAACTCTCTACCCCAAGCCAGGTACATTGTTGTTTTTCTTTTGAAGTTGCTAATTGATAGGAGAGCATTTCAGAAGGTAGTTTTATAAACTGATACCGAACATCACCAACTTGTAACCAGCAACCCTCATTTGCCCCATCTATCCTTGCTACTTTTTCTGCTTTAACCTTCCTCCCGGGGCCAGCCAAAGGCTCAGGCAGGGCTGCAGGTGCTACAATGCCTCTTTTGTACTGACTGTAACACACCCCACTGTGTGTTCCCTTATGATCACATTATCAAAAGAGAAAAGAGGCTGTCAGTGCTGTGTTAGAAAGCTGATTCTGCCTCACCTGGAACCCGTCCTGATGAGCAAGCAGAAGGACTAATGGTTTCTGCAGAAATCTCTCTCCCTCCTTATGAGCCTTCTATTGCACCCGATTCTCTGTGAACACAGATTTCCCTTACCCCATAATAAAGGCTCTAGTATTAGAACAGTGAGGTTTCACATAAAACCACCCAAACTTGCCCTAATCCAAACTAGAGGCTTAAGCAAATGAGCAAACTTAGGAAGGACACACTTAAAAGAGAAGGCAGCCGGGACTCCAGACATAGCCAGAGCCCCTCCCTGCCACCCACACTGCTGAGTGCCACCTGCATTTCTCCAGCGGTGTGTCATCCACTAATGGATAGAATCATAGCCTTTGCTTTTGCCCAGATTTTTTTTCTATTATCTTTAAGTAGTTGTAAAGGAGTCACCATTCAGTAAAGCAGTTTGTGAATATGATGACTCTAGACCATCATCGCCCTTCCTGTTCTCCCTCTTCCTCCCCAGCCTTCCCTCAAGCTCTTCATTTTGGATTCTTGTCTGTACCATCTCCCTTCTCTCCATTTGTCTACCCCTTTCTCCTTGAATTACAAATCCCTGCTTTAGGTGTCAGCTGGGGATGTGGAATAAATTTACCTACAATTCTTGGGGCTTCCAGGATCAAGCTTTGTCTTTCTAACACCCCTGACCGACCCCTCCCCTCAGCCCCATTCTCCAGGGGCTGGGACTATCTCTGGTCTCTACTTGTTCAAGCCAGTAGGAGTTCAGGTTTCTCTCTAGAGTTTATCACCAACTACCCTGGGGCCTAGAGGTTTCTCTCAAGTTTGCATGGGATCTGTCCTGCTGTTAACATATTTTGTGAACTGAAAAAAGGTACATAAGAGTTTTTGTAAAACATTAGCTTCCTGTCTCAGTAGTAGAGAAGCAAATCAGGAAACAAGAGCATTCTTTGTGTCTAGAAAACAATAGGAGCAAACTCCTCCTCTCTCATTCCTCTTCTAGGATTTTATTTTGTTTTTATCTCTGCCCCCTTTTCTCCTTCCTCTCTCCCTTTTCTCCTTTCCTGTCTCTTAGAGCTAAGGGGGAAATTGTGTGGGCATAGATGCACATTTTGCCTTAAGTTTTTAATCGAACCTTCATGTTACCTATGAACTCAGGACCAAAGTTCTAAAAATATACCCATTTTAGCCTCCCCCTCCCCCCACCCCGTGGATAAAATCCCACATGATTCTTCCTTAATTTATAAAGTATTATAATGGAATTTCATAGATTGCTTTGATAGGGCTTCCATACACCATTTTCTCTCTCTTTTTTTGAGCCATTGTAGAAAGAAATAAGGTGAAGTGACTTAAACCGCTTTCCCCAATGATCTCCCATCTTGTTAGACTCGGGTCAGAAGACATATCGAAGGAGAAGGTCTATCATCAACTGGGCCTTCTGGCGGGGCTCCAGCACTCACCTGGACAACTTGCCCATGTCACCAACGTTGCCCATGCCAGGACAGCTCTTTGGAGTTCCTCTGCCAGACATCTGTGAGAACGAAAATCTGCCCAAACCTATCTTGGTGAGTCTCCTTGGTGCCTGGCAACTACTGGGAAGTGAGCAGTCAGGGAAGGCAATCTGGCCCCCCCCACTCCGGCTTTGGTTAAGAATCTTCCTTCTTCCAATAAAACTACAAATCTGCTTTGGCTACTGAAGAACCTCAGAAAAGACGTTGACCATCTAGTCAACTGATTTCCAAAACTGAGCTAGCTTAGAATTTGCTCTGTAGACAGAATCTACCTTAGCCTCTCACATGAGCACTATGAGCCAGGAACAATGAGACTTGGGTTCTTCGAGTCCCTGGCCCAGCTCCCTGTCCTTCAAGGCGTCCACTCTGACCTCTAGAAGCCAGGAAAGCCAAGAACCTGTCCTTGTGGGTGTGAGCCACATGCCCATGGTGGGTTTTCTCCCTCTGCTTCCGCACAGGCCATGCTCTGCTTTCTGAACCACAAAGGCCCGCTCACGAAAGGCATCTTCAGGCAGTCTGCCAACGTGAAATCTTGCAGAGAGCTAAAGGAGAAACTGAATTCTGGAGTTGAAGTCAACCTCGACTGCGAGTCTGTCTTTGTGATAGCATCTGTCTTGAAGGTAGGAAGAGCTCCCCCTTTCTTTTTTTTTTTTTGTCGGTCCTGGGGCTTGAACTCTGGGCCTGGGCGCTGTCCCTCAGCTCTTCAGCTCAAGGTGAGTGCTCTACCACTTGAGCTACAGCACCACTTCCAGTTTTCTGGTGGTTTATTGGAGATAGGAGTCTCACGGTCTCTCCTTCCCCGGGCTGGCTTTGAACTGCGATCCTCAGCTCTCAGCCTCCTGAGTAGCTAGGATTACGGAGGAGAGAGCCGGGGAGGGCGCACAGGCCAGGCAGAGGCGAAAGGAAAGGAGAAGGGCAGGGCGAGGGCGGAGAAGAGAGGAACAAGAGAAGTGGACATGGGGGAGAGTGATTGAAGCAAGCTAAAGAGTTGAGAGGAGGAGAGAAGGGCAGGCGGGATGGGAACAGGGAGGAGGAGACGGGAGAGATGGCGGACAGGAGGCACGAGGAGATGAGGATGAAAAGAGGAAGCTGGAGAAGGACAGAGGAAGAAAAGACAACACCAGAAGAGGAGGAGGAGGAGAACAGGACTGGATGAAGGGGAGGAGGAGCATGAGGAAGAGGAGGTGGTAGAAAGGAGGAAGAGAGAAGGCATAGGAGGACGGGATGAGGGAGAGGAGGACGATGGGGAAGAAGAGAGGACAGGAAGGCAAGAGGAAGAAAGAAGTGGGAGGAAGAGAAGAAAGGAGAAAAGGAGGGAAGGAGGCGGATAGGAAGAGTGAGTTAAGAAGAGAAGAAAATGGGGGAGGGGTGAGAGGAGGAGGAGGAGGGAAGGAAGAGGACCAGGGGAGACTGAGGAGGGGTTGAGGAGGAGGAGAGAAGGATGGGATGACAAGAAGGGGAGGGAGACAGGTTGAGGAGCTGAGAAACGGATGAGGATGGGAGGAAGCCAAGGATGAGAAGAGGAGGAGGACAAGGAGAGGAAAAGGAGGAGGGGAGAAGTGGGGTGGAAGAAGGAGAGTGCAAGGTGACAAGAGGAGGAATGGGAGACCAGGATGAGGAGGCAACGTGGCGGGGAAGGGTGCAGGAGGATTAGTAGTGGAGGAGGAGGAGAGGATGAAGAGGAAGAAGGCTAGGAGGAGGAGTGAGTGGTGGGGTGTGGTGAGCTGGAGGCCTGCGAGGGAGCTGCAGAGAGGAGAGAGGGAAGCTGGGATTTAGGAGGGGAGACGTAAGAGCTAGGTAGGGTGGGGGTGCAGACGGGGGAGAGAAAGGAAGAAGAAAACAGAGTCCACTGTTGGAGTAACACAGGTAAAGAAGGCATGAGAGCCCGAAGTCGGGACTCCAGCCTGTGGGAGGCTACAGACGGATCTCCTAAAATCAGCTGGAGAATTGCACAAGCCATGTGTGACCAGACTACATGGCTTGTGTCATAGTCCTGATCCGCCACACCAGCCCGCACTCAGCCTAGGGCCGACCGCAGGAAGGGATGTGTTCATTATTTGCATAGCAGGTTTATATCACTAATAGGAAAACAGTGACAATTATCATCGTTAATTACAATTAGAGACCTTCCTCCCCACCTCCAGCTGCAAGTGAGCTCTTCCAGGGTAAGGGCAGCTGCTGCCCCTCCCACAAGTTCCCAGTATGTAGTAAGCATCCATCCACTTGCTTTCGCCCCAGAAATATATGAGAGCTATTGGATGTGGGTTCCACTTAAGCCTTAATGCATGTGTGTGCCAAGATCACTGGAATAAAATGTTCCAAGAGAGCAGACTTTGTTTCAGACTCCTCTGTATCAAGCACTTCCCACAGTGCCTTGAGCTGGAAGCACATGAAGAATGATTGCCACAGATACAGTGATGTACATTCCCCTGACTTACCTATTTAAGACAGGGAGTAAACTTCCAGAAGTTTCATCCCCAATAGGCTGGCCTTCAGTGATTTCATTCTAGCAATAACAATAAGAAACTGAGTTCTGAGGATCGAAGTTCAAAGCCAGCCTAGGCAGGAAAGCCTGTGAGACTCTTACCTCAAATGAACTACCAGAAAACTGGAAGTGGAGCTTGACTCAAAGTGGTAAAGTGCCAGCCTTGAACAGAAGAGCTCAGTGACAGCACCTAGGCCCTGAGTTCAAGCCCCACAACCAACCCCCCCCCAAAGTCCAGAGTTGGCTGAAAGCTCTATGTAGTAGAGTAGTAGACCTTAACTACTCCAACAAAAATGTTTTGTAGTTTCTCCAGTACATATTTACATGAGAAATAATGGTGTCAAATATTTGTTTTGTTTTAATCTATGCAAGGATTTTCTACGAAACATTCCGGGAAGTATTTTTTCATCAGATCTCTATGGTCACTGGGTCTGTGTAATGGATCAAGGAAATGATGAAGAGAAGATAAATGTAATTCAAAGGTAAATTATCCTCTGTCTCAAAAATGCTTTTAAAACACATCTGTTATAAGCTTGTCCATTGAGGTTTTACTGCTTCTGTCATTGATGTTGCTTTTCTCCCTACTTTTCTTAGGGTGGGCTACTTAAACTGTACATCCTCTGAATCTCATAGGAGCTGAAATCCATTAGTCCACTAGCTAATAATCTTAATCTGGGTAGAGCTACTCAGCTAATAAGATAATTCCTTTGGGATTTCATCCAGTAACTGAAATCATGCAGAGAAAATTACCTGTTCCATCCTCTTTAGGAAACCACGGGTCTGGTAGAGTAGAGAGTGGATTAGAGGTAGATAAATGCCTATCATCTGTGCTATAGAAGGTATCTGTTAAGTGCTTTGTGAACACAGCAGAAGGACGAGTGAAGGTCTTGGGAAGTTGCATAGTCTCAACCTGATCACAAGGAATGTGATGCTGAGGCTCATGAACAGGGCGATTGCTGGGGAGAGCTCTCTGCACTGTAAGCGAATAGGAAAGAAATGCCTATTCACAAAGCAATATATACTCCAGGGCCTGGAGGGATGACTCAGTTGGTAGAGTGCTAGCCAATGAGTAAAAGCATCAGGTATTGAGTTTGAATCCTAGGCTCGTACTAAAAAAAAAAAAAAAAAATACTTCAGTCTCTGTGAAAACCCTTGCATCCCATTATTATTTAGTTGCTTTCACTTGTTTAGTTTTTCCCCTAGAACAGTTTTCAAATACCAGTTATCTACAATTATTGACATACGATGTTGGACTGATAGTAGTCTAATTGTCAGAGATGTACCAGAAGCCAAACCCAGATAATCTGGTACTTCCTCCACTTCCATTACAGGTTTGGTGTAAACCAAAACCATCAAATTCTATACTCGGTTGTATATTATACAAAATATTGTTTCCTATAGAGGGATGTTTGTGAAAAATGTAAAACAGGCATTCATGCAATCATAAACATGCCAAAGTTTCTGTTTAATTCATTAATGAATGAGATTTTAAAGTACCACAATGTAGATATACTGCTATCCGTTCTCTATACCTTAGACATTTAAAATAATCCGAAGTTTTAGAGCCCCAAAGAATCAGATACCACATGAGTGAGATGCTTTTCCACTGAATATACACAATAATCGCCTGCTCTATTACAGCGTGTTTCAGTTTCTTCTTATCAACCTTAAGTCTTTTTTTTTTTTTTTGGTTGACTGTGGGCCTGAACTCTGGGCCTGGGCGCTGTCCCTCAGCTCTTCAGCTCAAGGCTAGTGCTCTACCACTTGAGGCACAGTAACACTTCCAGCTTTTTCTGCTTATGTGGTGCTGAGGAATCGAACCCAGGGCCTCGTGCATGCAAGACAAGCACTCTACCACTGAGCCACCTTCCCAGCCCCAACCTTAAGTCTTGAAGAAAGGCCTGTGGTTGTTCAATGGGTATCAACCTATCTCATTTCCCCAAGATTTTCAGAGGAAAAGAAAAAGGCAACAATCACCAATAGGAGCATATGGCGAGATCTAAGTGTGTGTTTTCTGCATAGTTAACACTTTCCATGAATGATCACTTTAAAATCTGAATGGAGTATAACTGACTGCAGTAAGCTTGATTTATGTGTGAGACCCTGATCCAGAACAGAAACTGACCTTGAAGCTGACCTACCAGCAGATCACAGGCTTTCAGAATGGATCTGGAAGTCTTAAAGTGGAAGATTGGGTCCTCACCAAGAGACAGCAATCCTGTGTTGCTACTTAGAAATAAAGGAGCATTTGCAATTTTATCGGAAAGCTTTTGTGGGTTTTAGTTGAGAATATTCCAAGGTGTTGCAGGGTTTGCCTCAGTTAAACAACTGCACCAGCATTTTTTTAGTAGGCATTTTCTGCATTCTTTCACATTTTCATTGAGTTATAAAGACAAAATACAAAAATTAAAAAAACAATTTCAAAGCGCTTACTTGCTCCTTTTCTGTATATTCAGACTTCACTTTGCACGGTACCACATTAACTGAATGCCTTGCGTGTCTGAGCTGTGTTCTTGATTGGTCTTTTCACCCTGCCTGGCTCCCTCCGTTAAGTGAAGCGTGTCTGCCTTGACCAGATTTTTAAATTAAATGCTTTGCTTTAAAAGTCCTTTTTTTTTTGTCTGTCTTTAGGCTATTAGACCAACTTCCCAGAGCCAACGTGGTCTTCCTAAGGTATCTGTTTGGGGTGCTGTACAACATTCACCGACATTGTTCAGCTAATCAGATGACTGCCTTTAACCTAGCAGTGTGTATCGCTCCGAGCATCCTTTGGCCTCCTACTTCCTCCAGCCCAACACTCGAAAACGAATTTACAAAGAAGGTAAAGAAGGGTTTTCCCGCATTCACGCCTCAGAGGGTCTCCATGCTCATTCTGAAACACATTCAGAGCCGTTTCTTAAATAGTGGGAGTGCACCTCCTTACACATGGCACTTGTTCACACTCAGGGCTTCTATCCTAGCCAGGAAGCTAAAGTTTAGCCTTCTAGACAATAGGACTAACTAAAACCAAAGAGTAATAAGAAAGCACTTGTGAAAAAACAAACACTGACAGAAGACTCAGTTCTTAGCCCTACCACCTGGTGCTGTGCAGGGCAGGAGGCGTTATAGAGACTCACTGTTCTCATCTGAAATAGCAAGGTGATGATACAGTAAATATAGAAATCACTGCCCCCCCCCCCGCCCACTGAGTGTTCATTAGGAGACTGCACATAAAGGTCCCCTTTGCTCCCAGCATTTCTTCTGCCCCTTGGCCTCATCTACCGGGACAAAGACACTACAGATGGCTTCCAGTACATCTCTGTGGAGTAGTACTAAAGACCCCCACTCCCCCGCCCCACTAGCCCATCGCTCAAGAATAGCCAATCAGAGAGCAGAGTAGAAGGCAATGACTAAGTAGAAGAGATTCATCAGGAAAAGCCCAAATTGCCTTTCTAGCTGGCTCATTCCTTCATGGTCTAACCACAGAGGAGCCCAAGCTCCTGATAACAAAATGTATTTTATTTTACCCCAAACCACCTGTGAAAAATACTTGATTTTAAAGGTGTTGCTGGGCGCTGGTGGCTCACACCTGTAATTCTAGCTACCCTAAAGGCTGAGATCTGAGGATCACAATTCAAAGCCAGGCAGGAAAGGCCATGAGATTCTTATCTCCACTTAACCACCTAGAACTGGGAAGTGGCGCTGTAGTTCAAGGTGGTAGAGCACTCACCTGCTAAAAGAGTGCAGGGACAGCACTCCAGCCCCGAGTTCAAATCCCATGACTGACAAAAAGAGATAGAACCATTGGTAAAGTGTAGCATTTTTTGTAGCATAGTAGTGCCACAAATAGCAGCTTTAGTCCACCGTTTAGAATGTCTGCGCCCAAACTACTCTTGAACAGTATCCTAGTTATTAAAAGACATTTATATTTTTTCTCTCGGGCATTTTTTGCACTTATTGTTTAAAATCATAATTTATATGTGAAAATTGTACTTTGTGTCCTTTTTGTCACACAGGTTTCTCTGCTTATACAATTTCTGATAGAAAATGCCTGTAGGATATTTGGAGAAGAAATCACTTCCCTCTTAGGAGAGGTTTCGGTGAGCTGTGACTCAAGAGAGACTGCGTCAGGTATGGTGAAGAAGTTCTCTAGGAAACAGGCCTGTGTCTATGAGTTATTTGTCCAAGGGCCCATGGGGGAAGGGGAGAAGAGAGCCTCGTCTGACCTGGGTCTGTGGGGCTGCTTCTGTTCCCTTCTACAAGGCAGGCTATGCAGTGTTCTCAGCATGGCAGGGTGGGTAAAAAGTATGCAAAAAGAGGTCCCAGAAGTTGGCACTGTTACTATACTATGGTATGATGATAGTTTGATTCTGTTAAAGACACTTGATGAGGAACTGTAGTATGTATTAATATGTATAATAGCACTACAGTGGTTCAAACTAGATGAAAAGTTCAGAGGCAATAGGGAAATCATGAGCCTCTCTTCCTCTTCCTCCTCCTCCTCTTTCTCTTTCCCCATCCCTTTCCCTCCTTCTCCCTAGCATGCTCTTAAACAGCCAGAACACAGCTGGCATCATTAGGAACAGCCTATGGAATGGATTCTGGATTCAAAGGCATACAACCTATATAGAATATGAATTCCTGAGCCACTGGATATTTTCTCTTTTGCCAAGTATTCTACGCCACTGACTGAACATCAGTATCCCCATCTATAAGATGTAGATTATAATGATGTCTTTGTTTTTCCATGCTGAGGCTCTAAGTTGGGGCCTTGTGCTCTTGCTTGGCTATTTTTGCTCAAGGCTGGTATTCTGCCCTTTGAGCCACAACTCCACTTCTGGTTGTTTTCTGGTTATTTGAAGTTAAGAGTCTCTCAGATTTGTTTACCTGGGCTACCTGAAATCCTCAGATCTCAGCCTCCCAAGTAGCTCGGATTACAGGCATGAGGCAGTGGCGCCAGACTATTTTCTCTGGTTGTAAGGATTAACGATGAACTTAACTTCAAAGAACTAGTGTATGAGAAATGGATAGGGTTCGCAAATGGTTGCATCAAGACTACAGTTAATTCTGTATGACGCCCAGCAGTGCTGTCCACATTCGCAGGCAGAGTTTTAAAAATAGAACTCTACTTGACATTCATTCCTTCATAAATGGTTCATCAACCCTCTTAGATTCAGGGTGAATAGTCATTGCTTTTAGAAAAATCTTACTTATCTCAGGAGGAACTGAGATATATCTAATATATCCTAACAGGATTTTTTTGTGGGGGGGGGGTCTGCTTTGGTGTTTGGCTTTATCTTCTACACTTAGGAAAGCATTCTTCCCCCTTCTTGTGAATAGAATGGAAGGTTGGTTTTGAAAGTATCGTGGGCTGTGTTCGTGGCAGCCACAGTGTGAATGGCAGGTTTGGTTTTTCTTGACAGATACATCCTGCTTCCAAATGAATGACTCCTCCTACGACAGCTTGGAAAACGAGTTGAACGAGGACATCGATGCCCCGGGCCGCGATCTCATCAAAAAACTTGGCCAAGGGAGCAGAAGTATGGACTCGGTCTTAACCCTCAGCGACTACGATCTTGACCAGCCCGAGGTCGAAGGCCTGTTGACCCTCAACGATTTTGATCTGGAGCACCCCAAAGAGGAAGACATTCAGCTGCCACCGTCCCTCGAGTCCAAGCTAGTGAACGTTCTTGTAACGTACAGGGAGGTATCCCTGGGTGAGCATGCCGGGGACCCCCCTGACACCTGCATGCCCACTTCCCAGTCCGTGGGGACACCCCATGCCCCCAAAGCCCCCCGGCGACACCGGCGCTGCTCCGAGCCGACCATCCACTACCTGGATTCAAAACTTTCCTATCTCAGGGAGTTTTACCAGAAGAAGATGCGCAAGTCCAGCTGCGATGTGGTGCTGTCTCAGAAGGACGAAGACTCTCTGAAGCAGAATCACCAGCCCCTGCATGACATGGGGCGGACGCGTTGGAAACACAGCTCGGTCACGGGCACGGATGATGGCAAGAAAAACGCCCCTCAGCAAAACCCCAGAAAGAAACACACCCCCGCGCCCCAGGGACATCATGCGGGGAAATTCCCCAAGTCCAAACCAGTGGCGATTTCTGTGGCCTCCCTTAGTCACGTGACCTTCCAGGACCCTGGTGGCCATCAACCCTTCGGGACGGAGGCAGAAGGCTACTGTCCAGCAGGTGCCCGCCAGAGTTCCCTGATGCGCAGGCGCAGCTCAGAACCCAACATCGATGACCAGAACTGCCAGCTGACCTATCTCAGGGGGATTTACTCCAAGCAACTGCACGAAAGCAGCTGCCAGGAGGGTCTCTTGCTCGGCGAGGAGGATTATCTCCAGCGGCATAAGTCTTTACAGATGGAGGGGCAAAAACTGATTAACCAGAGTTTGGTCTTGGGGATTGAGGTGGGCAAGACCAGCGCCACCAGTCAGGCCACTGAGAAGGTGTTGCCTCCCAGACTCAACCTCTGCCCCAGGGCTAGCTACTCCAGCTTATCTTCCCCGGGCACCTCCCCCTCGGGGTCCTCGGTGAGCTCCCAGGACAGTGCATTTTCACAGATTTCCGAACACTCCGTGTTCACACCCACAGACACTTCCTCTCCCATCGATTGCACTTTCCAGGCTCCAGGCAAACAGGATGAGCTTTCTTCTGAAGACTTTCTGGGCTCCGGCCTCCTTTCGGGAGTGCCCGGTCCTTCTACAGAGCCGGCCAGCAGCCATCTGGCGTCGACAAGAAAGGACATCTTCGAGTGGCACTCCCAGAGGCACTGTGTGACGCTGCACCCCAGCATGTGGCTGAGGAGTGGCTTAGCCAGTTTGAAAAACTGGTCCCTCAAAAAGAAAGTCAAGACCGCCAGGCCCGAGGAAAAGAAAATCGGTTCCCTCAAAGAACTGTCAGAGTCCCTGCCCCAGGCTTCTGATGTCCCCGAAGCCAGCGCTGTCCCACAGAGACCAGAAGACACACCCCTAAGGGCAGCTGAAGAACTGGCCACGGCTGCCGTGCAACCAAGCCAGTGGTATGCTTCTTATCCCTGTCAGGACTCGGAGAATCTCTGCGACTCTCCATTTCCCCTGGGGGAGAGCAGACCCAGTGAGGGAGAAGAGGACCAAGGGCGGTGCCCTTCTGATCCTCGGCCTCAGGAAGGCGCTTCATCCTGCTTGGTGGCTTCAGATCCCATGGCCAGCCCCGATGACCACCGCCCAGGCTCTACAGTGCTTGGTGGTGATGGGGACAGACATTTAACCAAAGACATTTAACCACAGAATCTTACGTTGTCTACAAGGACAGGAACTGAGCTAATAATAATAATAATAATATCACAATCACAGTGATACCCCTCTCCCCACCCCCCATTTATGATGCTAATACTGAGGACAAAATGCTCAATTGAGATTCCTTGGCAAAGTCTTCAGGCTAAAAATAGAAAAAAAAATGTGATCACTTGAAAGCGTTGGGAGACTTTTCCTATTAATGCTGGGGATTTGGTCATTTTCTGATGTATTCTTTTTAGATAGCCTAACAGATAGCTAGAAAACATCCTTTCTGCCCGACTGTGTCAGCAGTCTTTGAGATTGGTGTCCTGATTATGACCCATGGAGTGAGGGAACAACACAGTGAAGCCATCAGCACACCCTACGATGCTCTTAAGAGACAGGCCAAGAAAATGGCCACTAATCAAAGCATTCCCCCAAATCTAAGCCATTTCTCTAGCACTTTCTTACTCCTATGTCCTTACAACGTATCATTTTAGGATCCAGCTAGAGTGGAAAGAATAGTTAATTCAAGAGCCATGAATGAGTACCATGATATCATGGTTTTGGTTTGTTTTTTGTAATCATTTGTGTTGACGGATTTGTTTTCTCATGATTGTTGAACTGGTTGGCAAAAGCTCCAGGAAACATATTTTGGGAAAGGAGGAAGGGGAAGTGGGGGAAGAGGAAAATATTTTCTCATTTCAGGGCCTTCTCGAAAAGGTATCTCTGCAAAGAGCATACTCCAAAAATTGCAACTCTTTATGTAGAAAGTGACCATCTGACAGCCATTACTCATAGTACACAGGAAAAGACTGCTCTGGAAGTAAAATCTCCCTGGTCTACTAATTAATGCATGGAAGCTGCAGAGACATGTTTCAACAGAGCTGCTCAAGACTGTTAGTGCATTGGTATCAGCAAGAAAAAAACAATTAAACTATTAAATATTCATTAAAATATTTAAAAGTTCCTCTGTCAGGGGGTGAGTACTGCTAGCAAGGGCTAAAGAAAAGGATGAAGGCAGAGGCAGGCTACTGCCCAAATAGATGATTTACAACTGTATAAACAGAGCCATGAAGCCAGGTGCCAGTCACTCACAAATCCTAGCTATTCAAGAGGCTGAGATATGAGGACTGCGGTTCAGAGCCAGCCGAGACTGGAAAATCCAGAGACCCTTATCTTCAACTCACCACCAAAAAGTTGGAAATAGCACTGTGGTTCAAAAGTGGTAGAGTGTTAGCTTTGCACATAAAAGCTCAAGGACAGCACCCAGGCTCCCGAGTTCAAGCCTTAGAACAATTATTATTAAATAATTTAAAAAGTGAAAGATCAATGAGCCCTGTTGGGAAGGGGTGAACAGGGAGAGTGATTAACTGAATGGATTAACTAAATACATGGTAAACAGAGATGGAACTCTCAACAATGAAACCCACCCCGCTTCACTGTGTAATTCATAGACGCTAATGAAGGAAATCGTGTGAACGTTTTCAGAGTGCAGGCCGGTGGCCATATTTCTGTGGCAAATTTTCATCACATGACCTCAGGATTAATCCAAGACCCAGCCCTTTGTTTCAGATCCACCCAGCTACTCTCCATTACACCCCGGCACTGACCTGCGCTGCGTGCAAACTTTCTCATGATTTTCTTCGGGTTTGCACTCAGTACAATAGCACCCCTTTATCCATTGCACAAATGTCATCATCCACACACGGTACGGCTCAGTGGCAGCCCTGCCCCTTCGATTGCTGTTAGCCAGGAACCACAACACCACTTCTAAATCATGCCTTCTCTAACTGTCACAGCTTTGCAATGGAGACACCAGTTCAGAGTGTGGCTGGCTAGAGTCACAAAATGCAATACTGAATTAAGGAGCCCAAAGGGTTTTCTCAAATGGTCACTGGCTTTCAGTGTCCCTCTAGATTCTTTTTTTCCATATTCATGTCCCAAATGATGTGTGGTTTCTAAATAGTTTGGGGAAAAGAAAAAAAAAGATTGGTTTTAGATCTATTGTCTTTCTTCTGTCTTGAAGATTCACTCCAGGACATGGCTTTAACTTAGAATGAGATTCTTGGACCTTGCCAACCAGAGTAGGAGGATAGCCTCAAGCTAGCTATGAACCCCGCCTCCTCCATTTTAACTACTGTCCTCCAAGAGTCCGCCTCAACTTCAACCGCAGGACTTGCTCCCCGCCACAAATGTGCATATTCCAAACTATTTTCTTGCATCATTCAGCAACTGTTGTATCCAATGTTTTACCCTTCTCCTAAACATTGGATTTTTCAGTTATAGGATAAGAACAATGTTGTCTTCTCTAAGGAGTTATTTTAGTATTAGCTAAGGATTCATCCTACTTCTCCAGAACCTGGCCTTGTACGCTCTGAATCATTATAATTAATGTGTAGAAGTCTCTGCCCAAAGAGCCCCCAGCCCCTCCCCCCATGACACTGGCCCTCTCAGTCAGATGGAAGGCAGATTCCACCACATACCTAGCCATATTGCTCATGCATCTTTTGTGGTCTATAATACGGAAGTCAGCAGGGATTCCCCTTACCTTAGGGCATACTACTGACAGAACTGCAAGATGTGAATGAAGATCTTCTGGCTTGGAGTGTCTTACTGGAAGAAATTAGTTCTATAGTTAACAAAAATCATCGTCTTTCATAATAGCAGGTAGGAAAAAGGAAAAAAAACCCACCCACCCCATTGGACACATAAAAGAAAATAGTCACTAAGTGTTTTTTAGCAACCATCTCTACACTCAGTGTTCCCTAGATACTCCTGTGATACTTAATGTGAATAATCTGTTAATATTGCTGTAAATTATTGTATGATTGGAAGACAGACTATTTGTCACTTTATTATATTCCCATCAATCTATAATATATTGGACTGATCCTTTAAAAAATGCTTTGAGTTTGTATAATATATCTTGAAGAATTTTATTACCATACGTTATGTAACAAATGTGTATTTTTGTACTTGCAGAAAACTGCTGCTAACTTTTGAAGTTGTTTGGTTTTCAAAGGCACTGATAATGGATATGTATGAAGTCCATGCTGTCTGTCAAATAAAATATCCTTCTGCAGAGTTCACAGTCCTGTGGCCCATTAATTGACTTTGGGAGAGGTGGTTTGACACCAAACCTCACTTTGCAATGAACACTTCATAGAGGATAATCCATGTTGATTGGAAGCTCTGGGGGGAGAGGGGGTCAGAAGTCACAATTTCTCAAGAAAGAGTGGGTTTTTCTTCACTGTTTTTCTTTAATCTTGTTTACCAAACAAGTGAGGTTTTAGACAACTATTTATATCAGGAAATACATCTCCATTGTGTTCCTCAAATGATACACTGCCTATGCGCTTATATCAAAGGAACAGTAAGCCCAGTTGTACTGTTGGCCAGAGATTTTCCTAAGACTGAACCCATTGGCTGAAGTACCCAGTTGACTTTAGACAAACACCAAGACATCAGTGCTCTGGGAGTCATGAATTTGTGAACACCACTGGTTTTTCATCCCTGCTCTGTCTTCCCCTTCTTGAGGTCCCTTCAGGTTTCCTCTAAGGATGACCGCCATTTTGAAGGGATTCCAAAAAATATACTGTCTTAATCCAGAAAAAAAGAATTATTTTCCTCTAAGGAGCAAGGATTACACATCCACTTGCACAAAGGCTTTTTTCTTTTGGGGGGCGTGGGGGGCAGCGTAGAGCTACATATGCTGTTTATCTCTAAGTTGTACAAAAACACAGAATTTTACCTGTAGCAATCTAATGTTTTGAGTAAATAAAGACATTATTTCCATGGTATTTTCCACCTTTTCAAGGCATAACATTGAATGACAATGATCTGCTGTATCCTTGGCCCAACCGCATACTTTCTTGGTTGAAAATTTCAAAGACTATGATGTATCTTGATCCAAATTCTGCTAGCCAGTGTTTATTTTCCCTACCAGATCATGTTTGATTACTGGGGAGAATTTTTTTTTTCAAACTGCCTATTTTGGTACAGAGAAAACTCATTACCAACATATCCTTGGTATGTAAATTTTGTCTAATAAAATCTGGGGAAAATGCTTTATTTCTTTAGCTCTGGTTGTACTTCTCAGTTTCCTGCTAAAAGGAAAAATACCTGGGAGTTTTAAGTCCTCCTCTGCTTTTGAATGAGTTGCATGCCGTTGGCTCATGTCTGTAATCCTAGCTCCTCAGGAGCTGAGAGTTAAGGATCACGGTTCAAAGCCAGCCTGGGCAGGAAAATCCATGAACTTCATCTCCAGTTAACCACCAGAAAACCAGAAGTAGCTCTGTAGCTCAAAGTCATAGGGCACTATCCTTGAGCACCAAAGCTCTGGGACGGTGCCCCAAGTACAAGCCACAGCACTGGCACCCAAAAAAAGGATTAGATGAATATGGGGGGGTTGCGTGCCCTGAGGCTTGATCTCAAAGGGTAGTTGTTTTCATCTAGCTTTGATTTTAGATTACGTGAACTTCGAATTAAATTTAGAATTCTCTTTGCTGCCTCTAGATCTTCTATTTGAAGGAAGTAAAACTTTTCCCTTAGCACTGAGCAAATTAACTGTGTGCTCTAAATAGCTGCCTATCTGTGATTCTTGATGTATCTGAATGGGGGCTAGAGGGTAGAGGCCATACTGTGATTTGAACTCAAGGCCTCACACATTCTAGGTTGGTGCTCTAAGCCATGCCTCTGGCCATGTTTTGTGCCAGTTACGTTTAGGATAAGTTCTCACTTCCCACCCAGGTGCATGCCTGAACTGTGTGATCTGCCAACTTTATGTTTCCTATAGCTGCTGGGCTGATAGGCGTATGCTACTGCATCCAGCTTCCCTCTAGAGACTTTTCTGTCTAACTAGCCACAGTCCTCCCAATCTCACCCTTCTACATAGTTTGGGACAACAGGTGCATGCCATAGCACCCAACTATGGTTTTAGACCCTTTTCATAAACTTTCCTGCCAGGGCTGGCCTCCAGCCTCAGTCCTCCTGGTTTTAGCCTC